AAAACAAAAACCACACAAAAATAGTTAGGGTTAGGATAAATGTAATGGTTCAGCTTGAATAAATAACATTTGTACAGTTATTTTAGGTACAGACATACATTTTTCAAGTCAACATTGGCTCTAGGTCTGACCCGAGACAGGAACAGCAGCTTCCTTTTGGAAGATCCTGTGTTAGATTTCCCCCCTGACCCATTTGACATTCATACTTCGAGTTCCCACATGAGCAGACTGCGACAGACTTTGATTATAAAGGTGTTTGTTATACGCCAAAAACAAACGTTATCTTGGAGAAGATATGTTTCCATCTGAACATAATTAACAAACAAATGTAGTTTCATTATACAGGAATTTATGTATAGCCTTTTTTTAATGTCCATAACTTCTTTGTACTGACTTTAAACAACATTTATTTTTGTTTCAACAAAATGAAGCATTGAGACTCCAGTTCAGTTACCACTAGTGTTGCAGGTTGCTTTTCGAATGGAAACTTTTAGAGTTAAGTGTCAGCACAGTTTAGATTCATTACATCTCGGTGAGGCTGAGAGTTAGAGTGGATTTGGATGAGGGTTTACCAGCAAGTCCTAAAAAAAGAATTATATCCACTGGAATTATGAGTGCTACTTAGTAGCATGTTGAAGACTCTGATGCAATGGAGGATCACCAGCTTATGAAGTGCACAAGTTTACATTTATGTAGTTTAAAGACTTCACAACTTTGGTGCTTTTTAATTTATGTTATTTTATATTGATGGTTATAAGAATATTGACCAGTGTTTACAATCACTGAAACACCCTCTTCTTAAGTCACAAGTGATTCATCTATCAGAAGTGAAATCCAGGAAAGGTCACATAAATCCTCTTTAGCTTTGCGGGACAATCTTTCAGTCCATAACATTTTTTTTTTTTGTAATCCTTTAACTTCACGAATCACCAGACTCGAACATGTGAAGTTTTCCACTTCTAGCCACGTTAAAATTACCAGATAAATCACCATAGCAACAGGTCCAAAGTATGATTGAAACACAACTGGCCAATCTTGAGCTTGCAATTACCATCAAACTTTATTTACCAATTACCGGACATCTTCAGCAGTTTAGACCTACTGCTAATCATGTTAAAGCACCAGATAGAACTCAGCGTTATGGATAATCGGGTCCCTACAGCAATTAAGTACAGGATAAAACTTGACATCCCGTGTTACTAAGCCGCAATGCAGCCATCAGGGAAGTCCTGATACTTTAGCACCATGGGTTTCTCTCTAATGTGCATCACTGAATTGAAGTATGACATGTATATCAACCAGTGTGCACACATAGCAAAAGACAGATTGCAGACAGGTCAGTGATGGAATCAAAGCTAATAATAATATCCTGGTGATGACAATTCAGATACGACCTACAGTAAGACAACCCAGTAACTATATGCAAACCAATTACCTCACCTGTTTGGAATAGGCGCAGGGTTTGCAGAATGACAAATGTTATTAGGATGATATTGTGTACATGTAGAACATACAGGCGTGAAAGCGTTGACACTATCCTGAATCAATGCTGAGTGGCTGATGATGGCTGTTAATACAATAGACCTGATCAAACTACAAGGGCAGGATCAACAGCTCCAGGAAATGTAATGGGGAAGTTGTGTTGTATTAAGAAAATAATTGAATGATTGCATAATACATGAAGGCTGTTCAGAGGATGATGAATACACAGGGTCAGCTGATGTTTTGAAGAAGAAGAAGAAAAAACACCACAATGGTGTCAAGTGTTACAAGGGCTAGATTGTTGATTCATGATTAACTTTATGACAAAATCAGCATTGACAATTGTTGGTTGTAATGATCTCATAAAAACACACAGACCTGCAGCAAGGGTAAAGGTCAATACCGATGCTCTTATTGTTGCTGTGAAAATAATGACTGCAGTCTTGAAGAGTTAAGCAGTGCAACATTATTTTAGTGCTGAAAGATTGGGAAACATATCTGACTGTCTCCTTTTATGTATAAAGTATATTGTATGTTGCACTTTTGCCGGGCATGGGACTTCAGATAATAACTGCCAATAACTACGCTGTATCTATTGTGAATCTTGTAGAGCAGTCCAACTCCCAATGGATAGTTGTTGAAGTTCTGAAATCCATAAAGCAACCAGATATATTGTACATTTTATTCCAAATCTTCTTCTTCTATTTCAAAACCCTGCCGCCTTTATTTCTCTCAGTGCAAGACTGTCGCCAGTAACGGTCAGAGATTTCGTTTTTTTTGCAGGGGTCATCTGTATAGTGTCCTCATTGAATCAGAAGGTAATGCTCCATTAATGCATGCAGTGCTGATGTTTAACACCGATGCCAAGATGCTGCTCCCATATGGAGAGAGAAATAAGAGAATTGAACATGGTAACTTCAGCTGATTAATCACATCCAGTGCCTTCTAATTGGGATGTAAGCTATGCACATAATTTAACCTGACAAAATGTAAATGAGTCTGGAACATCTCTGATTATTGATTGCCAGGGGACGTTATGAACGGTCCCAAGACCCCATTGGATAGACCTACAGCCAATTACAACATGAGCTGAGTGAGCAGTTCTACAGGTTGCACAAATGTGCTGTAATGGTTTATGATATGTTCGTGAACGAGATAGAAGTTTAATCATTTACCATCCGGTTCTTTCAATACTGATGTAAAAGGTCTTTAACAATAGGTTCCACATCAGCTGCAGCCATCTTGTTTGTTTCAAAAATAGCTCAACAATGCTTCTGTTTACAGTCATAGTCTCAGACTTTTTTATAATAAATAAACTATTTTGATTGGCCTGCCAGATTTCAAGTTGCTGAAAATGTGTTTCAGGCAGACAGGGAACAGACGCATCTGCCAGGCCAAATAAAACATGAGCTCACAGATGAGTCTGGTTCCCAGGCAAGATGTCTGCATCTCGGTGCATTCAAATTTGCATGTGTTGTATACTCAGCAGTTTTGTTTTCCATAACCCTCACTAGGGTCTCTACAACCAGCAGTATCTTCCTTCACATCCAATTATTGCTACTGTTGTGCCTAAAAATAACCACAGTGGAAAGTAGATGGGACAAATTTATCCCTCATAGTTTTGATTGGATCAAAATGTTATATACCAAAAAAAAATGTTTCCAAAACATTTATTTCTCTTTTTAGCTGTTAAACACTTCTGCAATCCCGCCTGTTGTAAGTCTCTAAGATCTCTTTGTCAGGCTCTGCTCTGCTTCCCGTCTCCCAGTAATCAATTAGTTAAATTACTAGCAGTTACTTAATATCTGTCACACACTGGACCCCGCTGTCTAATTAGCACTTTTACTGTAGTTGTCCGAAAAGGGCTAGGGAAAATCAACGCTTATTATGACTAGAGCATTTGTTGTAAATACATTTGAGACGGTTGCAAAGGATTTTTTATTTCGTTTCCAAAGTTGTGACTCAATATTCTTTTCCAAAAAAAAACTTGTATCTTGTATTCCTCTCAGTTTCCCCACTGGTAAAGCAGTGTAAAAACAGAAACTCTAGCATCCTTTGTGAAGTCTAGCTGAAATACAGATACTCTAAAGATGGAAAGTATAGCAGAGGACATTGTCAAAGTTGATTGTGTGCCTTGCAATGAAGGAATATGTCAATCAACAGTAAATTGTTCCCCTGAACTTCCCCACTCTATCTATCAAGACCTGTGCAGTTGTGTAGAAGTCCAAGGCTTAAGGCAAGGGCCGGCGCATATCGCTCAAAGGAACCCCTGGCCATATGAATCTTTGACCCTCGGAGATCGAGAGGCAGAACGTGTCTGCTCCCTTAGGATGGGTCTGAGAGATAGGGGTAGGAAGAGAGAAGTAAGAAACAGAGGAAGAGAGGCACAACGTGTCTACGTAAATGCACTCTCCTAAAATAGTTTGAGGGAAAGGGGTGAAGAAATACAAAGTGAGAACCTGAAAGGAAAAGGCACCACATTGCGTAAATGCTTCCCCTTAGAATAGGGTGGAAATTATGAGAAGGGGACAGGGGCACAAGTGAAGAGGGACAAAAGTCAAGAGGCACAACGTGTCTACGTCAATGCACTCCCCAAAGAGATAGAAAGTAAGTAGAGAGGCACAACAGTCTAGATTAACATGGACCCTATTTTCACATGTTGTGTCTCTAAGTAACTAATGGTAACCTCATATTTTTCTAAATCGGTCCAGTATTGGGCAAGAAAGCAGATGGCAGCTGCAATATGGGTGACAACATTATAAAAAGTACCCTACAGAGAAGTGTGTCTTGTTCGGAAACCCTGCTTCGCATCCACGTGATCTTTTCCTTGAATTTGCAAGTGATAATAATTTAAGAAATGGGGTTGCATAATCCTTTGATGAACACATATAAGTAGTGATATGTTATAGATGTCAAAGTTGAATTAATCAAGACCTTTCTCCAAAATACAGCCTTGTAGCTTGGTAATATCCTCTGAATTTTCCAAAACTAAACTCTGGTGTGGTTCACCAACAGAAACTGATTCCTATAATTGTGGCCCAACAGCGAAACGTTGTCTATAGAGTCAATTAAGAGGAAACATAAACAGTAAAACAAATTAGGGCAAATAACTAAATACAAGCTACACTGCTTGATTTTTGATGTGTTTATAATAAGCTTAGGTTTACAGAAGAGTGTGTTACTGACATTTATCTCACGCTTCCATGCTTACATGACGACTTCCGATAAAATGACTAATGCATTTACAAAAGGACACAACATGGTCCTTATATGAGTGAGGGGGATTATTTGGAACTTAAGTCAGGGCCTTTTGCCCTTGGCTATTTGCAAGGGGACTTGTCAGTATCAAAGAGTCATGGTGACATCATGGGAACATCTTCATGAGAGTTGAATTCAGTTAAATGAGTTGCTGCAAAACATCAAAGAGGATCTTACAAGTCTCTGCTTGTTGCAGCTTTATTTGATTTATGAATAGGCCTTCACTCTGTGTTTCTTTCACTTTCTCTGACACACACACTCTCCAGCACACTCCCTCCGAAGAGATAACCCTTCCTGGTCGTTTCTCTTTATAATACTGTAATCATTAACATTCTGCACTTAGGAACAAGTCTCAAGGACGATACTCATGCTACTAAGGAATCACAGACTAGTTGGGAAAAGCTGAGGAGAAGCACAAATCATCCTGAGGTCAGTTCTAGACTTTCATATGTTTTCAAAATACCAGTCTACTAAGATGAAGTTTCAACTTGCCTGCAGAAAAACGTGCAGTGTGTAAACTTTTTTGTATGTGATTGCTCTCTTTGTTACAGTAGAATGCAAAGGAGACAATGGAGTACACCGCATTGCTTAAACTTCTCTGGCTTTTAAATGCATTTACTCTTACAACACAAGGTATGTAAAGTTATTTTTTAAGTTTAAAGTCATTTGTTCAGAACCAATACTCATCGTAGGTCAAAAATTATTATGGTTATACAGAAGGAAAACTATCTCTGGCTCTTCTCTCTAAAAGTTTAGATAACAAGCAGAGTTTATAGTTCCCAAAAGTAGCTGGAATTGTGCTGATGACAATGCTGAACAAACATGAAGCTTTTGTTCTTCTGTATTTCCGTATAATATTTGTATCTTTGTCTCCAGAGTTGGTGAAACTTAATGTGAGTCCAAAGATTACTGCGAAGTGCGGCAAACAGGTTACTCTAAACTGCGACGTGTCCTCATCTCTAAATGGACTATCAATCAAACACATGGCGTGGATCCAAAACCAAACTTCTCTCTGTTCAGTGGACGAGGAAGGAAAAATCAAACCCCACAGCCGAAGTGACTTCCGTTGTGACTACAAACATGGACAACTGTCCCTCATCTTTAAAAGAGTGCTGCCACTGGAGAGCGGAAACTCAAAGCCTTACATCTGCAAACTACAATCCAACCGTGGAGCTTCCAATGCAAAATTAATCGTGGAGGTACAAGGTCAGTGTCCACAGTGTGTTTACATTCAGTGTGACTCACCCAGTTGGGTTGTGTGTATCCTTGTGGACTAACACACGTGTTAAATGCATGTCCTGCTTCTTTATAAAAACATTTTTAAAAGCGTATTTGTTATATATTTAAAATTCTGTATTGTTAACATTCGTTTTACTAAATAATAGTCTTCTTCCTAACAGCCTCTGTTGGCTTATTGTTGCTTGCTTTGGAAAGGGGAGACCTGCTCATAAATAACAGCTCAATAGAGATAACAGTTATAGTAATAGTATACATTTGAGTTATTTGAGTATATATTTTTTCTGCAATCTTTTCTTCTACTCTCCAATACATTTATTTGAAAGCTTCAGTAACTAATATCATGTGTTAGTCTAGATAAAATGTATTTTCTAGCAAGGTGACTTGATAAATAAATATATGCAGAGGAGAATATAGTTTTAGCATATACAGTATATACATTTTTAAATGTAGCATGTGGCTGGCAGTCTGGTTGCAAATGGGACAAATCAAAGTAAGCAAGATTAGAAAAAAAATACATTTCAATGTACAAGACAATGATGTTTAAGAAGGATTACATATTAGGATGAAGTTAAATGTTATCTTTGAATATCGTTTATGTTTGGATTTTGACATTTATGGTGGTTTGCTTTTGAGGACTGTGGAGCAGGGTAGCCAATTGCCCTTTATGGATTAGCTGCTTAATTACTGGACTGTAGGGCTAATTTTACTCATTGAATTTACTCACATTTTGAGTAAATTCAATTTCCAACACTGCTCCCTTGTGATTGGTCTAGATTTGATTGTAGAAATCGTTGAGTACTTTATGGTATGTCTTGAAGTGCATTTTTAAAGTTAATTTAGATGCTCTTCTTATGGTCTTCCCCTCAGAGTGTTGTTGGTCCGTTGAGGGTGTTTGGAATGAGGGCCATCCCACCTGCACCTTCAGACATGTCTACCCGGACGGAGATGTGCACTGGTTTCACGGCTCCCACAATCTCTCAGATGGCTCTGTGAAGCAACACACTACGAAACAGGTGGACAACGGTTGGCTGACTATCCATAGTTACCTGGAGCACAGTCTTTCAGGTGTTCCCTACAACTGTTCCTTGAAGAGCACAGCATCTGGTAGATACATTGCTAGTTCTTTGGTTGAGAATCCTGACCTGCATGCGAAGAGAGTCAGAGCACAGGTTCATACAACTCGAGCCAGGAATGGAGTTGGATCACAGCGACCTATGTGGACATTTTTCTTTGTTTCAATTGCACTTGCTCTCACACTGAATTAATGGATTTGCCAAAGTAAATCCACATAATGGAGTTGGGTAAGATATCAGGGGTAAAGTGATTAACATTGATTAGTAACAAAGAGGTACTAAAATGTGTGCATTTCTAAAAATCCAGGATATAAGCGTTCTAAGATGGTCCAAAGATATATGGTTCTACTTTTCAGCTCTTCAAAAAATACCTTTGTTGTTTTGTTTTGAGTCACGCATGAGTGAGCAGCAGATACTGGTTTCATCACACACACTCACACATAACTTCAGATGTTTAAAAAGTCCTTCTGGCAACTACTTAAATTCAGCCAGAAGATATACACCCTATGGCCACGGATTAGAATGTATTTATTTCTGAGAGAGTGAGATGAAAATGTCAGTTGAAATCTCGGCTGCCCACCATGTCTCAACGGGATGATTGTCCATCTACGGCTGCTGTGGGAATGCAAACTTTCTGCAAGAGAAAAAAAAGTATCTGTCAATCGCGAATAAAATGCAGACCTCAAAAGATTAGCTGTGCTGTGAATTCCCCCTCAGACACACAGAAGCATTTGTGTGTGAAATATCAAAAAGCCAGACACAGGAAATCTCCCTCATGCAATGTCTGACTCTGTTGTGTGGGTGGATACTGCCCTCTGGTGAACAATGATGAGTGCAAGATATGGCAAATAACTGTTTCAGGTTTATTGGGAGACTACTGAATTACTCATGTATTGGGAGACTACTGAATTACTCATGTATTGGGAGACTACTGAATCTTCTGAGCCCCACTCCTGACATTCAATGCTCTTCAGTTTTATTGGACCGGTTGCAGAACATTAAGAGATTAATATCGGACACCTGGGCAATCAGAATCAAATCTGTGTAGCTAAAAATCACTGAGTGATGAAATGCATTTTTGCAATTTGGGTGAACCAAATCTTTAAGATGGATTTTTTAAAAAGGGATTGCTTTACAGTGTTTAAGTATATGTGAACATGCAGTGACAGATAGAGCCTAGGTTGTCAGGGTTGCATTTGGGTTTTAAATCTGATCAGCATCGAGTATCCTGAGTGCAGCTGACGAGTAAGATAATGGATACCAATCTTTTCTCCTGGTCTCCATCTCCACTCAGCCCTGTGTCTTTGCAGGCATAGGTTAAAGCTGGAGGACCCATCCAGCTCTGAGGCTAAAACCCTGCATTGTTAACACCTCAATGCCCCACTTCAGAGAAGGCATGTGAGAGGCTTTTAAAGCCAGAATGACTCTCTGCGAATGGTGACACAGGGGCACGTTGAATCTTTAGTAAGACGCTGCTCAGCTGAGAGCAAACTGGGTGATTGACAACGAGGTTACCCTGACAATTCAATTGCACATGGATAGACACACATGAACACACACACTCACATTAATAGTTTTGACTAAGACTGCCTCTGACAATCTTATTTTTATAAAAATATTATCTTTGACTAATTAAGTATACTGTTACCTGCACCTTATTCAAAATGGTAATATTTGTAACATAACTAATTGAAAAATAAATTCAAACTTGAAACAATCACAGTGATAAGCTTTAAATGGATCTGTTTGAATATGACATTATGACACTCATGAATCTTTTTTACTTGTTTTTAACATATTATGACTTTATATACAAATCAGCTGACATTAACCATTATAAAAAAAATGTAAGCTTTGAGGAGGGATTCTTTGAAGAGAAAAATGTTTTTTTCCTGTATAGATAAAAGGGAAGATTGGATGTATATTTTCGATTCACAACATTATGTATGTATTCTTGATTTACTGTGGCTTGGATTGTACCTCATTTCTATGGGGGCTCACGCAACCCCCAACCTTCCTTATATTACATGTAAATGAGTGCATCTTAATTTAGGCAGAACGCCACAACATCAGTCTTTAGAAAGATTTAGAAATAAAATCATGATAATTAAGCTATAACAATAACAATAAAACCTTTGAATCTATACATGTGTTCTTTCTCGTATTTCTTTAATGTCTCAAAATACATTTACAGCAATAACATTCATAAAACCAATGCATCTCAAAAGAAAAGCATGCAAACAATTCTTGTGATATGAAAATGCGATGCTAGATTCAAAATGTAGGGTTCTATTTTGTATCTTATTCAAAGACGACAAGAGGTCCATTAAGTGCTCAGAAAGCACAGAGGATGAAGAGAATCATGAGATGTAATGGTTGTGTGTTGTGGCAGTAAAATTATATTTCCTCTCCACATCAGAGCATCTTGATTATGAAGTCTCTGTATTTGTAGCATACACTTCTCACCACAAGAGGGAACAAGTTACACACCCAACAGCCTTCCTCTGAACAAATAGTGGTTACTCACTGATGTTTAATGTTGATCCTTGGCTGCAGGGTTCAAATGGGGCCCAATGAGTAATGAGTGAACTCAGAGAACCTTTTCACTGCTCAATCAATGCTTTGCCACATAAAAAGGTTGATGTTAAAACTGTACGTTAAACGATTTCTAGACGAATGTGTCGTACATTTCGGAAATGTATTAAACATATTCAGCTGTGACTTTGTTTCTCAGTGCCAACTCGTTTTGTGGTTGGATTTCTTGTTTCCTATTAGCATAACTGCTGCATATCGGTGGTGCATTAGCCCCAGCAGGATGTCCTCTGTTACAGCAGAAGCAGGGCTTGTTTCTGCAGGTGGCCCTTCTGCCTTGTTACATCATCTCTCAATGTTTGAAGTTTACTTCACCTGCGAGCTCCTCATCTGGGCAAAGTACACAGTGGGGGGTGTTGGGTGTGTTCACTGAGATGTGTGTAAACAGGGGCTTCAGGTCAAGTTCCCATGGTAACTGAGAGGTGTCTCGCTGTGTGCCCCTAGCTTGGTCTGTGTGTGTGTGTCAGGCCAATTATCCCAACGGGCTGTTATCTGCTCTCAGAGAGGTTTACATTATCACCCTGACAGCCCGGTGACCATTGGTCAGGTGAGCAACCACAGATGGTTTCACCATACACAAGAGCATAGTGGGGGGTGCACAGATCAAAAGAAACAAGATAAGAAACTGACCTACCCAAAAACACGGCAGGATGGATAGATGGGAAAAGGAGGGAGTGAGAAGACAGCGGGATGGAGGAATGGAAAGAGGAGATAAAAGCCAGATTCTGTCAACAAACAGAGCAGACTAATGTGAAGCGCTGATAGCCTGTTACCTAATGTTACGGTAAATGGGAGTTGGCTTGGGAATAATTGCCCAAAGAGCTGATCTGCACGAGGTTCAGTGTTGTTAGTGACACACGTAGCCCAGTTCCTTTAGACAGCCATGTGTTTTCTTTCTGACTACGCAGTTACAATTTCTATAGAAATCCCTTCTAACATTTTTTAGATCATGCAGATTTTGCTCACACAGACTTTACACACATGTTTTTAAATGCTTAAACTGATTTTATACCTTTACGATGCAATACAGCATTACAATACTGTAAAAAAAATTCAAGTACATGTTTGCATTTCATTTTTTCAACACAAGTATTGTCGACAAAATGTTATTAAATAAATCTAAACTACTATTTTGCATGTGTGTTATTATTTGTTATGTGGATCATGTTGGGAAAGTGGGGAGGACGACGCATGTCTTTCAACACAAACTTAAATTCACTTTCACATCTGAGAAGTCTGTAAATCTATAATAGAACATCATATTTTATTATATGTTTTTAGTTTGAAACCTTCAATAGCTTTGATTTTTTGTCAAGAGTAAAAAGTACAATATTTCCTGAAATTTAGTAGTATGCTATAACCTTAAAAATTGTATTTAAGTCCAGTATTGAGTACATGAGAGGGCATTGGTGGCTCAAACACTGATTGAACTATAATGTCTGTGTTCACTCATCCGTTCACCACTTCATCCATCCTCCGCACCATAAACATTATCTAGCAGATCGGAGAGCATCAGGCACTCAAACATTTCCAATGTTTCTGCCAAGACTGAATTCATTTCAATGCTGTCTTGTATTTCCACAAGAGGACAACCTCCATGTGTGCACATTCAGTGTTAATCCAGACTCCTGAAGGCCGATGCTGCTTTACAGAGATCAATACATGAATAGAGCAGCAGGAAGACTTAGTGCTACACTGAGAGGAGAGGCTACTTGAAAGGTCTCAACAGGAGAAAAAGAAGTGTTGAAAGGCATGAAAAACATTAAAGATCAATGTACACTGTTATATGCTCCAATGCTGATGCCCAAAGCAGCAGCAGTCTGGTAGACAGCTAGAATATGGAAAGATATTGTATAGATAAAAACACAAATAATTAAATATCTTTATAAATTATATATATATAAATATATGATGCTATTTATAAATAAATGGAAATAGAAGTGTATACATTTTATTTAAAATAATTGTTTTCAAAGACATCTTTAAGGGGAATTAAATTGTATTGATTCCACCTAACTAAGGGGAATTTATTAATAAATGCATTGGCTTTCCATCTTAGAAAGCCTCATGGCAAACACGGGGTAAAGTCATAATAAGATACCAAAATGTTTACAGTTAATGCTGAGATGCTTAAATTAACATATGATTGTAAGTCTTACTTCTAGGTGTTATAAAGGAAATTTAGTATGGGCTGTCAGTGTTGCCACTTATTTGACAAACTAAGCTTGGAAGCTGTGTGAATGTGTCCTGGTGAGTCTCTCCATCTGCACCACTTTTGATCCCTGGATACCCAAGCCCATGTGTGACAGAACATGTTTCTTGTCCATGTTCCTTCCAGTTAGCTGTATGGAAAGCTGCACGGTGAAAGATAACCACTGACTGAAAGCTTGAAATAAAGAATCACCATTTCCCAACAGCTCAAAATGTAGCTCTGTTGCAACAGATAGCGTTAAACTGATGTGTTCCGTAAAATCGTACATTTAACCTTCCAGTCTTTGTTCTTTCAAAGGACATTTCCCGCATAGTGTGTGCAGACACACAGCTCACAGATAGCAGTCAGCATGTTTGTTTAGTTGTGTGTGTTGTAAAGGGAGAATTTTGTGAAACTGCATGCACTGCTAGCCTCGCTTGCCCTGGGTTTTAACACAGTTATAATCCTCACCTCTCAAATCAAGCTTTCATTAACATAATGACTTCACCAAAATATAATTGACCAGTCTTGAGTTTCATAATGTATCAACAATACACCTCACATGACTATACCAGGTCCAAATGGAGCCTATAAGAGAGATATCAATGAAGCTCACACTGTGCTGGTAAGAGGTCAATCAGCCAAAAGAAGTGAATGCACCTGTGTGGGTGTAGCACAGCTGCATCACTTATTATGTATGATTAGACCTCTTACCATGGCTGTGTATGACCACTCCAAGAGTTTGAACACGCTGCTGACTCGAAACCTGCTCAGAATTAGCATGTAGCATGGATTTAAGACACAGCTAAGAGCTCTGTATACTGGATGACTGGTGAAAAACACAAAGGCATCTTTATTAACATTATAC